TCTCTCTCTGTCTCTCTCTCTCTCTCTCTCTGTCTCTCTCTCTCTGTCTCTCTCTCTCTCTCTCTCTCTCATGGTTTTGGCTGCTGAGACGGACCAGGCAGAACAGTGTGGACCATAGCTCGGCTTTCCAGGACCCTACAATAAATCTCTCGTGCTGTATTGAGTTTTTATCCCCTAATAAATTCCTTGCCCTTTAAACAGACTGTGGATCTCTCATTATATATGGTGCCCAGTGTGGGACCAAAGTAGACAGGCAGGTTGTCTGCAAGGGAGCTCCAGCCCTCAGTGCTCTCTCCAGTGGACTTACCCAAGGGTCTGCTTGGTTTGAAGGAAGTCAAAGCAGGGCTCTTCCATGTGCATCTGCAATCCAACAAACTTTCCATCAGCCCAACTCCCAGAAGAGAAACCTCAGTTTCTCACCCCCAAGGTGTAGTAAAAGTACCTCCAAAATCCTCCTCTCATACAGGCCTAAATGGTCCAGGCCCCTGACTGCTAATATTGGATGAGAATGAATGACCACCTGACCTTCCAGTGACAAGTTTCTGACTACCACAGGTTCACAGCCCTTAGGCATGAAGGTTGGCCTCATGGTAGGTAGACCAGGAACTCCTGAATACCACATCCATGCACTCACCACAAGCAGCTCCTTAAGAGTGTATTCTCGTAGACTCCTGGCACCCCAGATGAAACCTAAACCCACAATCCCTAGCGTTGGTGGTTCAGTGATAGAATTCTTGCCTGCCATGCAGAGGAGCGGGATGGCTCAGTGGTTAGGAGCACTGACGGATGTCCCATAAGTACACACTATAAAGTATACACTAGCTAAAACACATTTTTGTACCTGGTATTGAAAACAGTGGAACTATGTCCTGTACCTGGAAAAGTGGGCACAATAACCACGTTTTAGTTTCCAAACTTAAGTAAAAAACCAGGCCGCTTTGTAGTCCTTTCAGCAGCAGCCTGATGACTGTGTCCTCAGACAGGGACTGCTAATCTTTTTAGGTACGGTCATGCTGATGACACACGTTGAGCCAGGCTCTGTTCCAGGTCCCGTCTCAGCACCGCGGCAGCCCCACCATCACGCACGATACTCTCTCTTTGGTAACCTTGTTCACGTGCCTACTCCGCATTGCCAACTTCGCTGCAGTTCCTGGCAGTGCTCTGAACCGGTCTTCACACGCGGAGAGCCCTTTGCTTTAGCTCAGCCCGAGGAAGCATTTCTGTGTGTCTGGATAGAGGAGGAGTCTGAGGATAGATTTCCAGCCCAAGCATTCAGAGTCCCAGGGCTGGCTGCGAAACAAAAGAGAGATCCATCGCGCCTTGCGCCAACCCCACCACCACCAGCAGCCTGGCCCTAGCTCTTTGCCTCGACTCCTCTAAACTCAGATGTCCACCACCTCCAGAGTCACTCATTTTTCAGTGTGAGGGATCGAATCCATGGCTCCTGTCGTTTGGAAGGCTCCTGGTCACCGAGCTATGTCCTTGACCCTGTGTTTATTATTTTGATTATAACTGTTCAAGTTTTTTGTGTTGTTTTTGTTTGTTTAGGCACCGAGAGAGAGTCTCCCTTTCTGAAGCTTCCACCCACGGACGTCAGTTTGGCACGGTGGGCAGCTGAACAGGTAGCGTTCCTTCTCTAGAGCCCAGATCCCCCAGTCTGTGGGAGAAGTCACCTGCAGTGGGTTTGCTCATCTTAATCACTTTTCAGCAGGCTGTAAACCTAGAACAGAAGGTTTTCCTGGACCTGAGCATCAGTTAGTAAAGTAAATCAGGGCCAATTAAATAAAGGTTAAACACAGGCCAAGAAAGAAATCACTTGCAAAAAGTACTTACACAGTCCTCCCAAAGGGAGGCTCTTCTCCCAGACACTGTACAGGCGAGGTCCCCAAACCTACTAAGAGGAGCACCCTACCATGGGGTGTCACCAGTTGGTGGTCCCAGTCTCTGCAGGGCCTGTCTGCCCTCCATGGAGTCAGGGCATCTGACAGCTGTCCCCTCCAGGAAGCAAGGTTCCTTAAGGCAGCAGCAACCGAGTCTCTGTAACCACTGTCCATCACTGCCTCTCTCTCGGGAATAGAAGTAAGATGTCGTAGGAGAGGCTACTCCTGGGGAAGGCAGGTGGACAGTGTCTAGAGGCGTGAGGCAATCTGTTTGCCTTCCCTCTCTGTTTATTATTATTATTATTATTTTGTAATTGAAAGGGGCATCTGAGCTGGGGCTTTTTGGGTCCTTTCTTTGTTAGGCTGTTTTTTTTTCTTCGTTTATTTAAGGAAGAAAGCAGCTTAAGACAGAAACATAAAAGACGCCATAGTCAGGTGTGGTGACCCACTCCTGTGACCTCAGCTCCAGAGAGGCTGTGGCAGGAGGATTACCGTGATCTTGAGGCCAACCTGGCTGCAGAGTGAGATCCTGTCTCATAAATGCATGAGTGAATAAAGATGGGGACCAAGTCTTGGTGGGATGCCCCTGGAGGCCCACAGTGTCAGCCACTTCCAAAACCACAGGTCCATCCTCTGGGCCTGTTTCAACTCCTCAGGCTCCTCAGTTGTTGGGGAGGGCCAGAAGATCTTGGTTACAGTAAGAAAACTGGCGGTCCACAGGGAGTTGTCAGTGGGAGTTGATGGTAGAGTACTTTCCTAGCCTGTGCTAACCTGGGTTCTAACCCAGCACCAGTTGGTGAGGAGGGACAGAGGGTGTTCAAGAGGTCTTATCTTCATAACAATAAGATAGGGCACTGCCCCCTCTCCCCCCTACCCCCGTCCTCCACCCCCTCCTTCTCTTCTCATCTTGAAGTACTTGTTATGGAGCCCATGGCCTCAAGTGTCCTAAGCAAGTATTCTACCACTGAGTTACATCCTAGCCCCCAATTAACAAATGAAAGTTTGTTGTCTGTTTGGGGGTCTTACTATATAGCACATGGTGGCCTTGAACTTGCAATTCTTCCGCCTCGGCTTCCTAAATGCTGGGATTACAGATATGTACCACCATGCCTGGCTCCAAAATCAGATTTATAAACCCCACTGTTGGGTCCCAGAAGGAAGCTTCTTCTCTGGGGTGCACAACTACCCCCAAATCTCCCAAGCCTCAGAGAGAGTTGTTGAGCCTAGGTGACCATGAACTTGAGGAGTCCAGATGTAGACAGAGCCTTCATATAGATGCAGAGGTCATTGATCTGGGGTCAGAATTGTTCTTGTGCCTCCTAGGGGGTCTTGACAATGGACTCCATGTGGGACCTCTGGATTAGACGGTTAGCAGGCCTTTTATGTTGGACCTCCACCAATTACAGGCACTCGCTATTCTGGACTTCGACTCGGTTATCAAACTGCTTACACACTGGTGTGTGTCCCTGGAACACCGAGGCTGACATTTGTCTTTCAGTCATTTGGCAAGTGAACCTGAAGTGTGTGCTGTGTTAGACCCCTTCCCTCCCAGCCCTGTTCTTCCCATGGTCCTCTCCTCCGCTAGGTTCTTGAGTGTTAAGACAGCTGAGCGGTCTAGACTGTTGGTCTCTTTCACACAAGTTCCTCATCTGGGCAATTTTTATGTCAACCTGACACAGACAGGCTGGAGTAACTCTGGAAGAGGGAACCTCAGTTGAGGAAAGTGCCCTCACCAGGCTGGCCTGTGGGCTAACCTTTGGCACATTTTCTTGGTTGATGATTGATGTAGGTGGGTCCATCCCACAAGGATGGGTAAGCCATAAAGAGGAAGCCAGTAAGCAGCATCCTCCACGACCTCTACATCAGTTCCTGCCTCGACTGAGTTCCTGCCCTGACTTCCTTCAGTGATGGACTGTGACTCGGAAGTGGGCATGAAATCAACCCTTTCTTTTCCAGGTTGCTTACAGTCATGGCGTTTATTCACAACAGCAGACGCCCCCACTAAGACACCGATCTGTCCATTTCCAGACACACTTTCTGCCTGATTGGCCCTCACACCCCGTGAGTTGCCCAAACCTCTAGTTACAGTTTGCACTCAGTGTATGGCTGTTAAATACAGATATTTACTCACTCACCAAACATTTTCACAGTGCTTTCTCTTTGCCAGGCTTGGTTGTTGACACCAGGGCTTTGAAGAAGGTAAGGCAAGTGAGGAGTCCAAGGTACAAAATTTAAGGAGACATTTGCTCCAGGGTCACGTGATACAAGTGCGGGGGCCGGCCCACGAGGCCTCCTCAACTTTAGTACCCTAGGCATCTGTAGGGCCATCTGTTTGTGTGTGATCTCCCTTCCCACCCAGGCTGAACAGCCTCATTCGATACTGCCCCTTCCTCCCCTTCCAGGCCCACACCCACAAGCACTCTGCCTAGTGCAATGTTTTCTGTGAACTTGCCCCTGCCCAGCTGCCTGGGAATCCCTGGGGGCACTTGTTTTAAATGCAGCCTCCCTAGTCCCACCTAGTGAGTCTCCTTCTTGGAAGATGGAACTCAGCTGCAGGGTATCACTTACAAAACTCGGGGAGGGGCTGCAGCGGAGCCGCCAGACCACTGGATGCTGACCAGTACTAGAAGAAGATGGGCAGGGGTGGGAAGGGCCCTCCTGTGCTGCTGTGGGGTGTGGTGTATGCTGTGAATGTGTTGCTCTGATTGGTTAATAAATAAAATGCTGACTGGCCAGTAGCCAGGCAGGAAGTATAGGCGGGACAAAGAGAGAGGAGAATGCAGGGAACAGGAAGGCTGAGTCGGGAGCCGCTGCCAGCCGCTGCCAGGACAAGCAACATGTAAAGTACCGGTGGCAAGGTATAGATTAATAGAAATGGGTTAATTTAAGATATAAGAACAGCTAGCAAGAAGCTTGCCATGGCCATACAGTTTATAAGTAATATAAGTCTCTGCGTGTTTACTTGGCTGCGGTACTGGCGGATGAGAGAGATTTGTCCTGACCGTGGGCCAGGCAGGACCAGGAAGACTTCAGCCACACCGTGCGTCGTCGTCGTCGTCGTCGTCATGACTCTCTCTGTGAGGACAGAACAAGGAGGCACAGGAGGAGCTGTCTGTGCGGGCACACGCTCACCTCTGTAGGAAAGTGCCATTCAGCATGGCCTTGGACCTCAGCTGGGCCTGTCAATGTGCCTGCTGGGCCCTTCCTCATCCTCCTCTCCCTCTTCCCACATCTCCTGCACTGTCTGCCCGAGGGGCCGGAGGTGGCACTGTCCACAGCCTTGCAGCAGGCTGCAGCTCTCTGTAGAGTGAGTGGGAAGGTGGGTGTGTCTGCGAGCAGGGGGGCAAACAAGGCCAGTGGGAGGATCTCTAAATCTGTTCACCTTGACCTCCAAGTCAGGTGCCTGCCCTTTTCACTTGCTTCATGCAGTATCCCACGTAGATGCCCACATACTCTGGGCCAGGACACACGCTGATTAGTGATGATCGCTGGAATGGGACGAATCAATTTCGTGAGTCACCAGCAAACCCAGCTTGCAGGGTGGGGCATACCTCTGATTTCCCAACTCTTCATTCCCGTGGCAGTATGGGCGTGAGAGCCGGCTGGCTGGCCATCCACACCCAGCATCTCACCGGAGAGCTTGCGAGCTGGCTGCACATGGACTCAGCTCGCTCTGAGAATCTGGGAAGAGCGGTGAGAGCAAGGCAGAGAACAGCAGATTCAGAGTCTGGCTCAGGAGGTAACGCGGGGCAGCCTCAGCACCCAGGGCCTTGTCTCAGGTCTCCCCACAGCGATTGGTGGAGGACATCCACAGTGGGCTGGCTGTTCAAGTTGAACTAACTGTCACTTGTTCCGTAGCGAGGAGAGAGGTTTGCCCCAGTATCACCCGTTGAGGTTTTAAAAACAGATGCCCACCCTGTGCCCCTAAGAAAGGAGGTCTGGGAACTATTCTTTTCTGAAAGCCATTTCTGAAAATTCACACACACACACACACACACACACACACACACACACACACACACAGGTCTGAGAGTTTCTGGTTCAGGGGTCTAGGACTGTGTGTGTGTGTGTGTGTGTGTGTGTGTGTGTGTGTGTGTGTGTGTGTGTTTCTCCGTTAAGTCAGGGTGCTCTGTTGTCCACACCAGTGACTACTTCAAATGTAAGGGTCGAACCCTTCAGCTTGGCCAGGGTGAAGTTGCCTTTCCCAGAGACCACTCCCTGGATGGTTCTCGGTGAAGAGGGGTCGGAAGGCAAACTCACACGATTTGGAAAGCCGAAGTGAAGCAGTTCCTCTTCCTCTCTGAAGGTGATCCAGGTTAACTAGGTGACATCAGAGGGCCATCAGGTTGCAACTTGCCCATCTCTGATTGGTGCCTCCAGCTCTTCCTAAGTGCTGATTCCAGGGCCCGAGCAGCCTCAGGTCCACCCTCAGGTATATTTCTGCCCACACTGGGCCCAGGTCCTCAGCACCGACCCTCAGCATCCCTCTGTGGTCCTTCCACAGAGTCAGGTGTGCTCAGCCAGTCATACTGCCCGCCCGCTGGCTCCTTCTCCAATCCTGCCCTTCCTCTCGGGCCTTCACCACCCAGCTCCTCCACCAGCTGCATAAAATCCCACCCCTGTGAGAACTCAGGAGGGTTCTGCTTCCCTGAACCCCAGCTGACCAGAAGAGAAGTATCCCCCATGTCTTAACACAGCAACACATAGGAGCTCACTTTCTATTTGGATCCAAGAAATGGCCACAGGATATTAGGAAGTGTGAAAACCACAGGGCAGTGAACAGGCAACCGAGCCAGTTTTACCTTCCACACATACAGGAAAATGGAAAAAAACAGTCATAGCAATTTACTCCTGTACCCCAGGCTGAGGCAGGAGGATTGCTATGAGTTTAGGTCAGCCTGGGCTATATTGTGAGTTGCAAGCTATCCTGGGCTACAGAGGAAACATACAAAAAAAGAAAAAAGAAAAAACAAAACAAGCAAAAAACTTAAAGAAAGGGATGTGGGAGGAGGTAGGGGGGAGAAAAGAAGCCTTGGTTCCTCCCCAAGTTCTCTGGTGGCAGATTCAGCAATTTGGGCAAAAGCAGTAAAAGCCACCTTCTCTTTTGTCTGCTCCTGCCTTTCCTGTAGGCCAGGTCCTGCACCACGACCTGCCCAACTGGCCGTGGCAGCGTCAGGTACGTGTTAGGTACGTACTGGGCATATGTGCTTCTTGTCTAGTCCATTCAACCGTCTCACCTGAGCACCCAGCCTGCAACTTCCTCTCAGTGTGCTCAAGCACAGACCACTTGTAAGGCAACCCAATCCAGATGTTCCAGGGAGGGACCCCAATCCTTTGGCTCTATGTGCAATTTTTCCCTGCCCCAGAGCCGTGGGCAGCCATGCTTTCCTGCCCACCATGTGAACCGGCCCTGCTGGGTTCCTCTTCGCTGCTAGGCTGCAGCGTTACTGTGTATTATGTATCTCTACCCACCAGACAGCGAGCACACTTAGAACGGTGTCCCTGACCCGGCCACCTTTGGATCCCTGGTGGCCAGCACTGCACCTGGCACAGGGAAGAATGCAGTAAATATTTGTGAAATGGCTGAAGGAGCATGCAGAGGTCACATCTGGTTTGTTAGAACCCTTGATCATATTTCTGCCTTTGTGTGCGTGCGTGCGTGCATGCGTGCATGCGTGCGTGCGTGCATATGTGTGTGTGTGTGTGTGTGTGTGTGTGTGTGTGTGTGTGTGTGTGTGTTTGAGAGAGAGACTGAATGCCAGTGACCACCCAGGATCAGCTTGGTCTGAGGTGCCCTGAGGCGTGGTCGGTATCATCTGGTCACCGACCACGTTAAGTCTGATGTAGCACAAGAGGCCCCTGTCTCTTCCACAAACTGTCTCAAGCCCAGAGAGCTGTCATAGCACCCAGAGTCTCTGTCCCCCTAGGGTAGCCTCTGAGAGCCATCCTCCTGTCCTAGGCCCACTGAAGCGTTGTCAGTATTGGGGTTTATGGGAAGCCTTTATCAAAGAAAACCAGTACTTGCAGTGGAAACCGACTTGTAAATCGTTGGTACCATGTTCACGAAACTTGAGTAAGCAACAGTTAAGCATCTACACCACTCCGCCCCGGCTCACTGGAAAAATAAACCAACAAAAATGCCACCAATTCCCGATGGAGTTTGTGGGGTCCTTATCCCTAGAGACGGCCTGCACCCCCTCCCGGGGAGTTGGGGGCCCCACGTGCTAGCCGCCTCAACCCTTGGCCCTCTCCGCCGGGAGTGGACCCTCTGGCATGCCGTCAGGCTAGGCCCTGATGCAATGGGCGTGGGTGACCAGAGGCAGCCATGAAACTTTCTGCTCCACTTCTGCCGCTGACAAACCACGTGACTGGAGGCGGGTCAGCGTTTCTGAGCCTCCATTTCCTCATCTGTGAAAGGGGTTGGAGGAGTCATTGCTAGTTGTGTGCACACCTCTCCTGGGGACACTGGGAACAGGAAATCAAACTGGATCGTGCGAAGGCGCGTCAGGTGAGGTTGGGAAGAGCTGCCCCAGCCTGGGCAGCAGCTGCCAGTCAGTCCTCTCTGAGGGTGTTTGTGGTTGCGGTGACGTGAGAAGACGCAGACATGGAGGACCAGCAGGTTCCAGCTTGTCCCGATCTTCTCTACGACACCCCCAGCTCCTCCTCCTGATTAATGAAGCCACAACCACAGCAGCCCCGGGCCCACCTCCAGATTCTGTGTGGCATTTGCATGTAGTCGGGACTCACCTAGGTCACAGACTGTCCAAGATGTTCTCACGGCTTCTCACAACAGGCTAACCCACAATATAACAGTGGATGTTTAGAGAAATGTTTGTGGGATGACTAGGTGTGAAAACAGCTATCTTACTCTCCTGGGAGTGGAGAGGGACTGAAGCCAGCCACGGGGCACTGAAGGGGCTTCAAACACGGAAGAGAGAGTGTAGGGCTCCGCCAAGGTGCAGTTGTGGGCACGCTGTAACTGTTGCTGTGTGTTGACCAGTCTTGTGTACATGTTAAACAACTCATGAAAGCACTCTAAATATTAATGCAAGGCTGAAATGTAGCTCAGTGGAACAGTATATGTTTAGTATTCTCAGGGACCCCGGTTCAAATCCCAGCACCTCCCCAATAAAGAGAGAAAAAGCCGTATGAGAGGAAGACAGCGGTGACTTCTGAGCTCCCGCTGTTCTAGCACCAAGCTGCTCCCAGCGGTCTCCCGTCCACCGAGGTCTTCTCTTAGCACCAAGCTGCTCCAAGCGGTCTCCCGTCCACCGAGGTCTTCTCTTAGCACCAAGCACTTCTGGGGTTGGAAGCAGACATGGAAAATAGGGAAATCTGAAACCAAAGCTTGGCAAGGACCCCCCTTGAAAAGAGAGAGGGCTGTGTTCAGTTTTTAGTTTGAATCCCCAGTCTGTCAACTAAGTGGGTCACCCATGCACCTGGTCCCCCAAAGCTCTGGTTAGACATCATGTCCTTACCTGTGCAGTGGCCTCTGTCTCCCTTCACCTTGCTGAATCTTACTCATCTTTCCAGACCTAACCCAGATGCCATCCTTTCTGGTTGCTCTGAGTCACCACGCTGCATGGCCAGGTGTTACTCCGCCTGCGCACACCTGTGACCGTGGTCCTAGACTGAGCGTGGTTTTGTTTTCCAGAGGGACACCGGGCAGGATCTGGAGGCGTTTTTAACTGATTCCATGGTGGGGAGGTGCAAATGTACCACAGGCTGCTGGTGGACAGAGGCCAGACACCCCGGACGCACAGCCCAGCCACCCACACCAAGGAGTTATCTGATACCAAATGTCCACACTAATGCAGTCTAGATTCTTGCATGGCAGTTAGAAGTATCTCTTTGGGTCTCACTGAGACCCACGATCATCCTGAGCAGTGGCCTTGTTGATTCAGCCTTTAGTCCCCCACATTGTGCACACAGCTGAGTGCCATATGTCCTTCTCCCAGATGTTCTTATCTAAACTTTGCAGCTGCCCCATCCACTCCATCAAGTGTCGTAAAGCGCATCATGAGCTGAGGTGAACACAGCGAAGGCTTCTGCTCTCAAGGAGCCTTGTAACCGAATAGAGGAAAAGGTCACAAGGAAACCTAATTATCCACAAAGTAGATAGAACACAAGACCGCGACCGAGGGCAGCAGGAGGTTTCGGGAGAGCCGATTATTGGGCTGAACCAAAATGAAGTTGTCGACATCCTCCCTTTTTGATTGGAAAACACTAATTTTATGCAGTTCACCCCAAATGTGGCTTAGCCGTTTTGGCCTGGGTTGGGGGCAGAGATCAGACGTCATAAAAGAGGGGATCCCAGGAAATAAATCCCAGTCCTGTCTTACCCCTGCATGCTCCCCAATTCATGGTATTCCACCCTCCTCCCCTCACCCCTGCCACAGCTCCTGCGAGACAACCTTACAATTCTAAGGCCTTAGCTGGTTTTGTTGAGTGGGCGACAGTATGCACAGTATGTCCAGGTGGGTAGTATGCAACTGTACTTCAGTCTCTGGAGAATCTAAAAAGAACAGTGTACAGGCAGAAAATTAGATATGATTTCTTGATGGTGACCCGTGTAGAGAAATGAGATCTCCTCAAACCAGCAGAGGCCATAGCTTCTAGAAACTGTTGGGAGCTCGAGGCCCGGAACATAGTTGGTGGCCACCTGTGGTCATGTCCCTGGTGTGTAGGGCAGCCTCACACATACCCCACCCACGAGCCTTGGCCACTTACTTACCTCGTGTTCTGGGCAGTAGAGGATAAACATTTCAAAGCTGGACTTAGAACTTGGCTCAGACTTGCTTTTAATCATGTGAAAGCCAGAATAATTCCAAAAAATGAACTACTTAGAAAGGTCAAACGTGGGCAGGTCTGATAAGAGGTCTGGCTCCACACAGCCATCCACACTCAGGGAAGAGTTTCTGCCAGCGTGGATGTCACCGGTGACACAGAGTCTGCTGCTGAGTGGGGTGAGCACCTTGGACACAGGGCAGCAGCACCTCCCCATGCACACCCCCTCACAGCCCCTGCTGCACGCCCCCCCCCCTGCCCCGTGCAAGTCTGGGCAGGAGTTAGCAGCTTGCAGACTAGAGGAAGATAAGCACAGGTTGGTCACAGAGGTCCAAACAGCTGCTACTTGGACTATTATTCTAAGCGATGGTGGCCCATGCAGTGACATTGGATGTAAGCACCAGGAAAGCAGGCTTCACTGTGCTTCTTTCTAGGGGACCCCTGTGCATACAGGCAGCCCCTGTCCTTCCAAATAAAGCAGTGACCTCTCAGGACATTTATGTGAGTGAATGGTAGTGAGTGTTTGAATGTTGTCCTAACCGGACATGATTGTCAGAACTGTGTACTAAACTGTTGCCCTAAAACTCGGGATGCCTGTGCAAAGTAGTAAGCGTCGCTTTTAGTATAGGAGTTCTGGATATTCCTTCCATGGAGCCCACTCTTTGGAGTTCTTTTCTCACAACACCTTAATAATTTGCTCTACTTATGAAAAGGAATCCATAGATGTAAATTCTCTTGCTATTTCATAACAGCATACATATCCATATTAATATTGTCCCGTGGGAGGAAAGGTGTGGAAATTTGGCTCGTGTTTGTGAACTCTGATTATTTGACATTTATCTGAAAGTGGGGTGACAGTGGGGTGTCTACCATTTCCCCAGGGGAGTGGCCACTCAGTCTCTGAAGTCCCACAACTTTCTAGGGCTTAAGGGCAGGGGCGATGGTAATGAAACCCAGGGTTTTACACGTGACAGGCGAGTGATCCATAAGGAGCCACACCCACCCAAGCCCCAGAACCTGTCACTGTGAATTTACTGTGCTTCAGATCCTAATCTGGGCATGAGAGCTTACACCTGTAATCCCAACTGTGGCGCTTTGAAAGAAAATGGCCACCAAAGGGAGTGGCAGTATTAAGAGGTGTGGGCTTGTGGGAGGAGGTGTGTCATGTTGGGGGTGGGCTTTGAGGTCTCCTGTGTTCAAGGTACACCCAGTGACACAGTGCATTTCCTGTTGCTTTTGCATCAAGATGTAGAACTCTCAGCTCCTTCTCCAGCACCATGTCTGCCTACATGCCGCCATGTCCCGCCATGATGATAATAAACTAAACTATAAGCCGCCCCCAATTAAATGTTTCCCTTTATAAGAGTTGCCATGGTCATGGTGTATCTTTACAGCAATAGAAACCCTAACTAAGACACCATCTCTTGAGAGAATGAGACAGGAGGATGGCCCTGAGTTTGAGGCCAGCCTGAGCTACATAGTACATTTTAGGCCAATCTGGGCAACAGAGTGACACACTGTCTCAAAAGAACAGAAAAGGGGGCTGGAGATGGCTCCGTGGCTAAGAGCACCCTTACAGAGGACCCTGGTTTGGTTCCCAGAACCCACTTGTTAGCTCACAACAACCTGTAACTCCGGGGAACCCCATGCTCCCTT